TTGACTACCGGTCAAGGGGATAAAGTGCCAAAAAAATAACATTATGGGGTAAAGTGCAAAACACTACAAACCTTAAGGGGACTTTTCATGAGTTTCCCAAATTTCATCTAAATTTATACATTAGATTTTGAAAAGGGTAAAAACAAATATTAAAACTATTTTACTACTCTTCCCATTTTATTTTTGAGGAAAATTTTTTGATTAGATTACACTTTTTTTATGCTCTATCTGTCATAAACTCGAGAAAGATAGAGAGAGATAGAGAGAGACAGAGAGAGAGAGAGAAGAGGAGGCACCATGATCATTAGTTTAAGGGTAAAATACACTTTACCCCTTTGTGATTTAGCTATTTTTCACATAATCTCCTGTAGTTTCAGAAGTTATACATAATCTACTCATTGTTTAAACTAAAGTGTCAAATTGACAGAATTATGATCCTCTCTAATGAAATCCATAAAAATGTTGAAATTATCCTTGTTAAAAAATTAAAATGGTTGAAGTGACTAAAATAAATAAAGGGCAAATTCTACTTTATCCCCCTGGGATTTAACGTTTTTTTACATAACCCCCTTATAGTTTCAAAAGCTATACATAATCTTCTCATGCTTTGGATTAAAATATCAAAGTGACGGGAATGATCATTCATAACGGAGTCACCTAAAATGTCAAAAATACCGTTATGTAAAGTTAAAAATTATTTATTAACCAAGGGGGGTTATGTGTATATTTTGAAAACTGTAAGGGGGTTATATGGTAAAGTGTTAAATCATAAGGGAGTTATATGGCAAAATATAAAATCATATGGGGTTAGTGTGTTATGTATTTATAAGGGTAATTTCGACATTTTTAGAAGTTCCGTTACAAATGACTATTTTCATCACTTTGACACTTAATCCAAACCATGAGGGGGTTATGTATAGTTTTTGAAACCATGGGGGGATTAGGTAAAAAAAGGCTAAACCATAGGGGGTAAAATGTAATTTGCCCATAAATAAATATAATATGCATAACAAAATTAACCCCTTATAATTTTGTGCATTACCACATAACCCCCTTATATTTTAGTACTTTACCAAATAACCCATTGTGGTTTTCAAAATATATACAAAACCTCCCTATTGTGAATAAATAATTTTCAATTTTATATAGGGGTACTTTTGACATTTTAGTTAACTTTGTTATGGAATACAAATTCCATCACTTTGACACTTTAATTCAAATTATAAGGGAGTTAAATATAATTTTTGAAACCTTAGAGGATTATATCGAAAAGTGCTAACCACAAGAGGGTAAAAGATATTTTACCCTTAGTTTGGAAATATTTTATATTATATTAACAGTTGGACGATACTGGGACATGTTGAAGAGTTTAGTGCATATAATGTCCCAAATTGAAACTCGTGTTGCAAAATGTTCCAAATTAAAATTTAGTACAATGTGCGAATTAGGTCAAATTTAAAGGTGCAAAGTTAGGGTGTGTTTGATAAAATTGATGTCTAAAAAATGAAATCTGAATTCTGAACTCTGAATCCATTATGTTATTGAATTGTTAAATTCTAATTTTGATATATATAAGTGCATGTCACATTAAGTGATAAGTGAATGGTTTATCACTTAATTTTGGAAGCAAGTTTTATCTACAAAATTCAATGCCATTAAATTACTTCAAATGTTCAAGTTTTCATTATTAAATGCGTCTAAATATATTAAGATATGAATATATTAAATTTAAGTGATGAATTGAGTTATCATACAAGGTAATTGTTTGTTATAGTGGTTGCAACCAATGCGAAATGTCAGGCTTGTTTGGAAGTGAAGTTTTTGACCAAGTTTTTTAGCTACTAGTTTTTTAACAACTTTTGCTACAGGAACCCCAAAAAACTTATCAAAGTATTTTACTTACGCACTTCAAAATAATACACAAAAAACTTTCCCTTCAACTTTTCTTCTTTTTCCTCACCCACCCAACAGGCCACCACCTCCACCACCGCTTCCGGCGCCAGTAATTATTCCGGCCAACTTTTGCCGGCCTTCCTCTTTTTTTTTTTTTTTTTTTCTCTCCCCCCTCCCCCCTTTGACCGATATGTTGGTTTCCAAAATCTCTTTTTTCTTTTTTTTTTCTTTCCTCCCCCCCTCCCCTCTTTCCCTCTGCCTTTCCCCGCCACCTTCCCCCTCCCGCAGCTTGGGGAGAAGGAAAATTGCAAAAAAAAAAAAAAAATTACACTCGGCTGTTGCTGCTTATTCTGCCGGCAAGATAAGAAGAGGAGAGGGAGATGGAACATTGGAAAAAAAAATCATTTCTGTTGTTGCAAAACTCATGTGCAAAACTCAGGTGGCGGCAGAGGGAGAGGGAGAGGGAGAGGGAGGGGTGGCGGGCAAAGAGGGTGGCGGGAGAGGGAGAGGGAGGGGTGGCGGGGGAGTTTTTGCAGGGGTGGGGGAGGGGGGTTGCGGGCAGAGGGGTGGCGGGGGAGCTTTTGCAAGGGTGGGGGAAGGGGTTTGCGGGCAGAGGGAGAGGGAGGGGGAGCTTTTGCAGGGGTGGGGGAGGGGGTGACGGGGCAGAGGGGAAAGGCGGGATAGAGGGGAGGAGAAGGGGAAAAGGGAGGAGAAGGGGAAAAGGGAGGAGAGGGGTGGCGGGAGGTGGCATTGGTGGAGTTGCTGCTGGGGGTGGCGGAGGTAACGGGGAAGGGGGAGGGGGAAGGAAGAAGAAGAAGAAGAAGAAAAAGAGAGGAAAGAAAAGAAGAAGGAAAGAAAGAAAAAGAAAAAGAAAAAGAAGAAGAAAAAGAAAGAGAAAATAAAAAGAGAAAGAAAAAAAGAAAGAAAAAAAAGAAAAGGAAAAAAAAAGTTTTTCACCGTACAAAAACTTCTACAAAATTTTTTACATTACAAAAACTTCTACAAAATTTTTTCAAAAACTTCTACAGTGCACTACAGTAAAGTTTTAGACAAACTCCCAAAAAACTCAGGTTCCAAACAGGCTTATCGGGTAATAATTAGCTATGCTTGTAACTTGGACCAGAATTAAACCCCCCCAAAAAAAGAAAAAGAGCCTATGCTTGTAATTGAAGCCGCAATCAAGTCATTTCATGTGAAACAAAAAGCTCTTGAGAAGTCATCTGTAGCGCCTAGGAATCAAATATAAAGCATGAAATGCCCAAGACTCAAATTTTGTCGATTTTATCTTGACATTGTATTTGTTTTAATTGTGTTGCCCTAATTTGGCGGCAGAGATTAAATCGACCATGATCCTTGATTTTGCATCTGGGAAACAAAGGGAGTGAAATTTCTGGTTGAATCCATCTGATTTTCTGTGAAAGTTGAAATAGATGCAAGCATCAAGACATATAAGTGTATTGTCATCATAATGGTATAACTGTTAATAGATTCCTTTCATTTCTCAACTAGAATGGGAAAAAATTGTATGGTTGTGAAATCATCAGCAGAGTATGATTAATGGTTGAGTACGTTAAGAAGAGAAACTCTTCTCAGAATCTTGAATATTTCTTCTGAATTCTCTTCAACCACCTGCATGGCGAATTCTAGTGACTGCAACTGCTTCAAGATGTTTTGTGCAGCAAAAGCATCATTAACCTCGTCAAAGTTGCTGATTAAGACATGCAATACATCTCAATCTTTCCCAAGTCATAAACCTCTTCATCCTATTCCGTGACATAATGGACAAGTTTTGGATTCACACACTTGAAAACCAATGACCACCTTTTCAGCTTTGAGCCTTCCTTTGTGCCTGATGCAAATGTTAATACAGGTCTCAAGATTGAGAAAGTAATTGGCTCTGTTTCTTGTAGCAAGCTTCTGACATCTACAGGGTTGCTGTCTTTATCAAGAGTGCTGAGGACTGAGGAACAGTTCTTCTCAAGTTTCTTCAAATGTTTCAGGCTGTGCAAGTTGCTAGAAATCGAATAGGCTGAGGAGGAGGTGGCATCACAGGACTTTAACCTTCAGGGCTAGTAGTCATTGGATAGGAACTAGATGGCAAACTGCTCGATGGTGTATGGCAAGCTGCTTTGGCAGTTAGCTAGAGAATCGGCCATTTTTGCTGGGGAACTAAGTCTGAAGTATGAATACACTTTAAATTTGGAGATGTTCAGCAATCTCTTTAGCATCAGCAAACAAATAAAAATTTACAAATCCTAAGCAGCAGAAAGAATATTATCCAACTCCGCATGTCTTCAACCCAAAATAAAAAAATGATCAGCACATAGTTCTGCCTCCTAACACTGAGACAACAATTGATCCTTCTTTTCATCACATTTCTTGAAGCTGACAAGCAAAAGGAATCTTGACCGATAGTAGTTCAAATTATTTATTAGCATTTTGTCATCAAGATGCTTCAATTAGCTCCTCAGATCAACCATCTGCTCTTGTTACTGGGGAATGAAAAACTGAAGTATTGTACAAGATAAATGATGGTGTTAGCTAGCAATCATCTTATTCTAGAATCAACCCACTGAGCACATGGTTTTTTCCTGAGGAAGGAAGAAGCGGTTTTTTCCTTATTCCTGAGGCCATGATTGAACATTGCTGGATCAACGACTAAGCAACATGATTAAACCACTGTCTACAACACGCATGCACGGCTAATTGAAAATGTCCACGAGCATGCAACGATTCATATTTCCTATGGGTCTAGCAATTTACATCGCAAGCAGCATGTGATGCTTTTAATAATAGAATTAAACAACCGGCATGGTCATACTTGAAACAGAGCTGGTGATCTAAATGGTTGTTGCATCAATAATCTATTGCAAATTGGGATTTCAATTCTGGATGCTTCTTCTGGGATCCTTCATCAATGAGACAGAACGAAGGACAAACAGAGTACTTAATAAGCTAAACCAACTAGACAAGAGGGGATGAGATTCCTTTTGTTTTCTTAACCACCTATATATACAAGTGGAGAGCAATTCTGTTTTCAACATCTCCACAGGCTTTTAAATCTAAACATTCAACATCCATTTGTTACTTTCTGCTTAAAGGAAAAAATGGCAACCACTGCTCCAAATAAAAAATTCTCAAGCCATTCTCGTTCCGTTAGTTTGCCTTCTTCATCTCACCCTCTTATCTTGACTGCCGAGGAACATCTACAAAGATTGAAGTCATCAGAAGCAGCACCCTCAACATCGCATTCATTGGCATGCCAAAGATTGGATGGCCTTAAGAACTTGTACGAGCTGGACGATGTTCTTCAGCTTCCTTTGAGTCAACAGGCTTTCTCAAGTGAAAGACCCGGAAAATGGGACGAAGAGGTCTTGGATGGATCTCTCAGGCTGTTGGACCTTTGTGGGGCAGTCAGAGACATCTATTCAGGGATGAAGGAAATTATGCGGGAACTTGAGTCATCTATACGGAGGAAAAGAAGTGGAGATTTGGCCCATGAAGTCAGCTCATATATGATCTCCAAAAAGCACTTGAAGAAAATGATCAGCAAAATCTACAAAGAACTTAAGAAAGCAGAGAACTGCAACTCAACAGTGGTAAACAAAGGCTCTGAAGATGTCCCTTTGGTTAACTTGATCAAAGAAGTTCAACTTGTTAGTCTTCCAGTGTTGGAGTATGTTCTGTCTTTCCTTTCTGGATCAAAGGCAGGATCACAGCCAAAAGGTTGGTCCTTTGTATCAAAATTATTAGAACAGAAGAGAGCATCAAGCAAAGAAGATTCTGATATTGCAGCAATCAAACAAATAGAAATTCAGTTGGATCTCTTGAACTACAAGAAGTCAAACCAGGAAGTAATAAAAAAACTTGAGGAAGTTGACTCGAGCATTGAAGAATTAGCAGAGGTGCTTGAAATTGTGTTCAGGCTTTTGCTAAAAACTAGAGTTTCCCTTCTTAACATTCTCAACCATTAGTTTAGGCCACAATTAGCATGGTTTCTAAAATATCATGCACCTCAATTTTGTTTATATTAGCCTTTGTACAAAATTGTACATATATACACATCAGAAAATGAAACGGTTCATCCAATTTGATCTCTTTCATTCCTTTACCTGTCTAACTAACTTCTGCACTTCCATACCAGAAATCATTTCTAGTGCCAGACGAAAATGAATCATACACATAGCTTTTGGATATTTCTTTGATAATTTCAAAGTGTTATTTATCTGACCTATCAATTTTTTATAATGAAGAAAGTAAACAACTTTCAGATTCTGGTTTTTTTCTTTTTGGGTGTCTCTGGATTTCTGGGTATGTGAAAGAGTTAAAATGTCCAAATATAGGTCCAAATGTGCAATATACTGTCCCCTAATATGAACAGCACCATAGTGAGGGGAATCCGTAATGATATCTACTGCAAATCAGATCCTTAAACTAAAATTGGGTTAAAAATAAAGAATTATGGATCTTGATACATTTCTGATCAGGTATAAGACACAATCTCTTCTATGTTTAAAGCCCCAATCCATCGTGACTAAAAATATATAATGGTTCAAGAACCATGGACAACTTGGAGTGCACAAAGTGAAATGAACAGGCCTTTTAATACTTCTTTGATAGGGTGTGAAATTGTCATTTAATTTATAATTATTCCCCCTTTTATTCTAGCCAAATATTGTATTAAGTGATTGATTCTACTTATATTTGGTATAATGGTGCCAATTGTAGGAAAATGAGCAAAATGTGATAAAAAAGATAATTTTTCAAGAATTACTGTCAAGTCTAGAGAAGTCGGGATTTCACGTGTACGGTGGCAGTTTCCAAAGAATGGTGAATTCCATGTCCGAAGCTAGGCTGGAATAATTATTGCCTTTTTCTATTTAGTAGTTGAGTACTACGAGGAAACTATTTTTATTAGGAAATCTATTAGATTAGAAAAGTTCATATAGACTAGGATTCTAGACTATTAGGAAGTTTTTTTAGCTTGAGTTTGACGGAAGAGAAGGATAGCAAGAAGGGACAAGATACAAAACGGCTTCGGCCTCAAATCTATTGCTATTATTTTGTTTTCCTGCATTTGGAAAAAAAAAAAAAACGATTGTTCATTATTTTCTTTGGAGAGTCTCTGATGATAACGGAAACACTTAATTCGCGCGGGATTACTCTAAGGATGATGAACTAATCATCCACTTCTAGTCAAGGGGACAACTGAATATTTGGTTCAATAACAACTGTGAGATCTAAATTATTTTAACTATTTCCTTCATTTATTGGTATTTGTATGTTTTCTGCTTTTAATTGTTGTTATAGCTATGGTGTATAATTGAATAGGTGCGCAATATTTAATTATTCACGTAGGCTATTTGCTAATTGGGAGTAGTTGAATCCGTAATTGTTCGATTACTTCCGTCCTGGTAGCAACTGGCATAATTGGGTTTGTGTCAGGAAAACATATGATCTAATTTAAACAAACCCTCGTAGCGTGTTTGTTAGTTAGGGTTGGGCTTTTGTAATTTTTAATGCAATCTAGAAATTAAATCCTACGGTCGTACCTAAAGTTATTTCTTGGTTAGAGAAATAGTTAACGGTCGTACATTGACTATCGAAAAAGTAAGGAAAAGTTGGTTGTCTATCGCGTGTATGACAGTTACAACCAATCTATCAATGAATACTGGAATTATACTTGAATCGATGATCAGTTGCATGAACTATTTCTGAAGTGTATCCTTGACTAGAGTTTCTCCAATTATTTCTCTTAATTAATTATTATTCGCATTTAATTTATTTAGTTGGCAATTCATTAGCATTAAATCCTAAAACCCCCCGTTTGTCTGGACTCTTGACTCGAAAGGAACGAATTTTTCCGCAGTCCTTGAGGAGATGACCCTACTTGGCACTGTCTACTAGTTAGTAATTTTGTTAATTAATCCATTCTAGTATATTGGATTAAGCACACTCTTCGGAATCAGGGTGAATCAAGTAACTCATTGCACATCTAGAGTCCCTGCTCCAGTACCTGAATTGATTATTGACTGCTTTTAGTGGTAGTTAGGTTTTTATTATTGCACTGGCTCGACAACCTGTCATTCTTTGATCTGTCTTCACCTATTTTTCATAGAAATCAGAGAAACTGAAGTCGTATCTCTACTTTCAGCTGACACACGTGGGAAGAAACGCAAGATTCAAGATCTACCATATCAATGGCAAAGTGTTTGGAAGTCATTCTCAAAAAGGATTACAAAATCATTTCTATCTTTCGAATAATTATGGAAATGCACTATTTCCTTCTCTGTAATTTCTGAATTTCTTGATCTGGAAAAGGTAAATTACAAACAAATAGGTGCATCGGCATCCTTCTTCCATAGTTCTGCAGATGCATTTTTTGAAGGGTAAAAAACCTCAGCGGCCACTAAACTATTTGTCAGATCATGTTTTGGCCATCAAACTATTTTTCGTCAATAATTGGCCACTAAACAACTTAATCAGTAAATTCGTGACCATTTAATCGATAATTATTCTTAATCTGTGAAATTAGCAGTACCCGTAGCAAAAGTGCCGGGTAATTTTTAGTGGATTAGACAGTAAAGCAAGATGGGAGGTTTTAAGTGGCCGCCATTTTGATTGCTTTGTTTGGGCTATGGTGGGGAAGGACTTCCGCACCAGAAAAATTTTGGAAGATTTGCTGCTGCAACATGTCTGCCGAGCCAAGGATGATATGGCCCCATTTTCAGATTTGGACTTGGCTCAGAAACTTTACCAGTTCCTGCAGTCCAAGAGATTCTTGATTGTTTTGGATGATGTCTGCTCTGCCGATGCTTGGGAGTGCCTCCGCATTGCACTTTTGTCTCAAAAACCAACCGCCAGCAGAGTGCTGCTCACCACTCGGGATGTCGGAGTTGCAGACAAGATTGCTTCTTCATCAGCCGACGACAAAGGATTCATTCACCGGATGAGATTTCTTAACCCACACGAAGGCTGGGAGCTTCTCCGCAAGATGGCTTTCAGAGCTCACTCTTCTTCTGATAAAGGCATCATTTCCAGAAAAAATCTTACCTCTCCTGGGCAGACCACATATCTTCTTGCTGGGTTCCAATTTGTCCATGAGGTCTTCATCGTTGCTGTTAATTTGCAGAAGCATCTAGGTTTAGCAGAGCGCCTCGACATTCTTGTCTTCTTCTTCGGCTTCTTGGATTTGGGGCTGAAGATTTGGGGCTCCCAATTGAGTCCCTATTTTTTCCTCCATATAATTTTCCATTCGGTGATTGTTTGAGGAAAGAAATTAAAAGGAGAATACGGTCGCATAGTTGTTAGATAAAATTACCTTCGTATTTTGCCACGTGTACTGCTAATTTCACAGATTAAGAGTAATTATCGACTAAATGGTCACGGATTTACTGATTAAGTTGTTTAGTGGTCAATTATTAACGAAAAATAGTTTGATGGCCAAAACATGATCTGAAAAATAGTTTAGTGGCCGCTGAGATTTTTTGCCCTTTTTTGAAATACTCAATACCATGCCTTAAATTCCGCTCACATCCATCAGATTCTCTAGAAAAATTTGTTATCCAAGTTCTTCGCAACATGACCAATAAAATTTATAACAGGAGGCCAATTTACTACTCCCTCCGTCCCGATAAGTTTGTCGTACTTGAGAAGTTGTGATTTTTATTAACAGTGCACCGAATCTTGCAACTTTTGTTTCACTTTCCACCTTTGCCCTCCAACGTATAATGCATACAAAGAAAGTTATGCTGGAAATTTATTAGTGTGGGCCTATCTATTTTGTTTAGCTCAAAAATCCATGACCAAAAAGCACGTATCAACAAACGCATGGCACACATTTGGGAGTGTCTTTCATGCACCAAATTGTGGTGCTTCCTTTTTACATTGACTTTTGAGTTAAAGTTGTAAGACCCATATTTTAAGAGGGTAAATGTTGAAATTGGATGTAAACAAGCTTTCTATTTTGGGTATGTGACAAATATTTTGAAACAGATAAAAACGAAAAGTATGACAACTTCAATGGGACGGAGGGAGTAATATTCTTGAGATGAAGACATTTTCAACTTAGCAAGGATAAAGAGGCATATAATGTCTCTACCTAAACCACAAGCATTCAACAAGCTCAGGAATCCATCTAGGACCTTATCTGCCTTTTTTTTTTTTTTTTTCCAATTTTTCGGCGCATTCTGGATTGACTGCAACTGAACCATTTGAGTAACATCTTCATGCAAATTTTTCAGGCTACTTAAGTTGCTGCATCTTGGTGGAACAAAAAAAGACACTACGTATCAAAAAGGCCTAGGAAATGTTCCAACAAGCCCTTAACCTTCTGACATGATCCTCAACGCTAGCAGTCATCAGATGAGAACTGATCGGTTGAGTATGGCAAGTTGCTTAGATAGTTAGTGAGAGAATCACCCATTTTGCTGACGTAGGAAGCCAGTATGACTGAACATACAAGCTTGATAGTCGCTGGAGAATCAACCCATTTCTTTGGCATCGGCTTTATATACAAAAATACAAAACTACAAACCAGACTATTCTCCAACTCAACATGTGTCCTACACAAATTAAAATTGATGACCACACAACTCTGCCTACTCAAGTTGAGACAGCAATTGGTCCAGTTCTTAATCACATTTCTTGAAGTTGACAAACACGAATATCACAAATCATGTTTCATAACACCTTCACGATCTGAAAAGCAAAAGGAATCTTGACATTTCTATGTTTTATCCTTTTTTCCCTGCAGACATTATATTGGAACCGGAATTCATTAAATTGGGACCGGTATTAATCCCCTACAGCCTAGGTATTGAGACTGTAGGGGGAGTCATGGAACCGGTGATTCCAAGTGGTTCGGACTTTTCTTTTTTTCACCTGGTCTTTTTTTTTTTTTTTTTTTTTTTTTTACTTTAAATTCAATGGTATTTCTTCTTTTCTTTCTTAATTACTCTTAGTTTTATCCTGT